AATACAGCGTGCATCTGCATGAGGGTCTGCAGTATCGCGCGCAGTCCGTACACGCCTGGGGCAAGCGAGCCAGGTGGTACATATGGGCCCCCTGGCACGCCCGTAATGAATGCTTGAGATTCTAGTTCCATCAGGTCGGCATAGTTTGGAGGATATACTGGAGTTTGCCTGTTTCCAGGCATAAGGTCGGGTTGATGTCGAAGGTCGTGGTCAACCTCCGAAGGCGAGGCCTCTAAAGTGACGCCCTCGTCACTGCTGTCGTAGGCCATGATGTTGCCTGGGTTACCGAACATCCAGTCGAAGAAAGATAAGGGCTGGTTTCCCAGCGCACCATTCTCCACAGGCGTAAGCTCGATGTTTCCGAAAACAAATCTGCGGAGGTACTCGAGGTAGTACGCGCACAGTCCGCGGCCGCACGCCTCGAACTCATCCAAGTTGTCCATGCTGCTGGCCCAAGTGACAAAAATCTGTTCCATGGCCTCGAAATCTTGGATGCTCAGATATTCAATAACTGGTTCACTTGAGCCGAAATGGACTTCGGTCGATCTGCCCTTTACATTTCCCTTCGCTGGACAACCTTTTACAAGATGATCGGTACTATCACACTCATGGCACTTTAGGATCTGGCCGTCTCTACCTCGCGGGTTCCCCCGCCTACCCTTACCCTTGCCTGAGGTATCTCCACGGCCTTTACCACGGCCTTTCCCCCCGAAAAATATCTCATCATACTGGTCATCTGAGCGCCTCTGGAGGAAAGCCGCGATGCCTCGTCCATTCAACCTACGGCGACCCCGTTTGCCTTTACCTTTTCCTTTGAAGCTCTTCCGTATCCCCCTCCTAACACGACGCACTGGTTTTCGTGTGAACCTCCTCCACCTCCGCTTTGCCTGTTGTAATAACCAGAACAGGTGTTCGGCGCGCTGATTGCCACCTTCCATTTGCATGATATCTGACCAGTCTAAAGGTTCAATACCATCTGATGTTACGGTGTCGGTGTCGGTGCCGGAGTCGAAATCGCCATTTCCCAGGTAGGTGGAGACGCCGTCGCTTAGGGGATTCGCTTCACCCCATAAGGAACGGTGTGGTTGAGGTTCTCTAGGAGGGGGGCTGGTTGCCCAGCTCGGCTGCGATCGATCCCCTGTTAGTAGGGCAGTAGACTCTCCAGGATCGTCGGCCCGCATGCTTGAGGGCCCGTTGCCAGGCTGAGCTTCAGTGGTTAAGCTAGTATAGAAATTTCCACTACCAGTTCCCCTTCCCCTTCCAAACACTGATCGTATGTTACCAGGAGACCGTTCTGACAAATGGCCTATCGAGCGCATCCTCTCGCACAACTCATCATAGTGTTGTTGTGTTCGGGGCATTTGGTGGTTGAGTGGCTGCAAGAGTTGCATGGCTCTCTGGTTGCCGACGCCTAGGGCGCGGAATCGGATAGTAGTGAGCAGTTGGAAGTTGGGAAGGTCAAACCCCACCGACTGTGCCTCAAGACGGGCCATCTCGAACCGAGTGAGGGTTACATCCATTCTTTCTCCGTGAGGCACATGAAAGTCGATGAGCTGTGTGCCTGAAGTGAGCTGGCGCTCATCTTCCAGGCGTTCGAACTTCATGCTTAAGAGGAACATAATGTATGTTACTGGGTCGGTGTGGACACCATCGATGTCCGCACCATAGTTTATAATGTCAGGTGGTACCCTCATGGCGAGCGTCCTCGCTAGGCCACCCAGGTCGCGTTGTATGGCGGCCGCTTGGGCTTGTGGCGTCATGCGTCCACTTGTGACGTTTAGCCACGCGTTGACTTCATAAACGTATTCGCAAAAAGGTACGTTGCCTTGAGGGTCCCAGTATGGGCCATGTGTTTGCCCATCTGTGCTATTATCTCCTCGGCGCATGTGTCCGATTGCCGCCCCCAGCGCAAACCATATGATGGCGAAGATAACCAGCCCTAGGCTGTGAAGGTAAGGGTGGTTATCAGGCGCGCTGCCGCGCTGGGGTAGGGCTTGTAGCGCCTTGTCAAGTCTACGAGGCGTTTTATCTTGCGGGTCTCCCCGCCTACGCTTCAAGTACTGCGCTTTTGGCTCGTTGCCGAGCGGTTGGTAGTAGCGTAGTGATGAAGCGTATATGGTACCTGTGTTGTTGTCTAGACGTCGTACCTCTCGTGTTGCTTCTTGCTCTTGAATTGATCCTCGTAAATGTAGTTGGAGTGGTGGCGCAGGGTGGTAGTTGGTCACGAAGATCGTGCCGGATAGCGTGAGGATAAGAAGAGCAAGAGCTGACCACACGAGTGCGGCCAGCTCCGCTACCAAGTCTGAAGTGACTATGGTAAGTCAAATAGCATCCGATTCCATGGGAAGCGGATGGCAAATAGCGTCCGGTGCCGTACTGTGGTGGTTCGGTAAGGGGAATGGACGGATAAGATAGTATAAGATCGATGTAATGATCTTTCCAGCACATAGCGGACACAAGCAGTGTCCGGGCAAATAGGGCGCGCGTGCCTTGAGCCAAAGGCAACGGCGCGCGAGCTATACTCCCGATCCTATATAACATCTCCCAAAGAGCTACCCTTAAAGTACGAGGTCTTGATGGGTTACGATCGCAGTCGTGACGAATGGCAAACCGCCAAAAAGAAGACATAACCCCCGGCTTTGTGTCAGGCACTAGCGGACGGCATTATGGATTCTGTCAATCACACGCGCGAGACCAGCGACCCAAACGCATTACCAGACGGTATGCGGGAAGGGGAGGCCAAGCTCCGCGGGTCCTTGACCGATTTCTATATTGCCTGGGACCCCTATCAGGACACAGATGAAAGTTGGGCCCCTGACTTCGTCTCCGAGGCCCCTCGGCGGGCCCGTGCCGATCCCGAGCGACATCGGTTTCAGCCGCCACCTCCGCCCGCCGTTTCTGTGCCAGATGTCGCATATGACCCCGAGGCGGAGCCCAGGAACCCCTGCCCTATTGAGGCCACAGAGGAACAGGAGTACGCCGAAGTGCTGGCGTTCATCGAGGGCACTCCGATCCCCGATCGTGACGCCGCTTGTCCTTCTCAAGTCAGCGGCGCCCCTGCCCATATCCCGCCGCCACCACCCTGCCCTGTCCCTCTCACGGATGAGGTTCTGGACATGATTGCCCGCAAGCGCTCTGAGGCCCGATCACGGCGCAAGCAGCGCCTTGCAGCCCGAGTCGCCCCTTGAACCATGCAAGAGGGCTTCGGTGCCAATGTGTTCCTCTCTTATCGCGAGTAACCCGCAGTCGTCGAGGTTGGCGAATTTAGGGAGGAGGAGGAGGTTATGATTTTCGGGCTCGGGAGAGGGAGCTCGTCACTACCGCGCGTACGTACGTGCTCGAAACCTCTGCTTTGTTGGCTGCGATTGCCTCACCTTGCGTATGACATTCGTGGGCTCTTTGATGGGGCCCTCAGGTTATTTAGACACAATGCAAACCCGCTACACGAGTTTGCAGACACCGTCGCACGACTAGCCTCCACGGGATTAGCACCAGTCGAGGATGACGATTGGCAGCCGCGGTCACCGTTACAGACTGGTGCCGCAGCCGTCCCGTGGCGGTGGTTATGCACCAACGCCCGCGTCTCAGGGACGGGCAGGGAGGTTGGGAGGATGAGGACGTCGACGCCGACGGTCGCCCGTCGTCCAGAGAGAGCGGCAGCCTGTCTCTCTCTCTCTCTCTCTCTCTCGCCCGCGGCCTGCCTGCATGCGCCGCCCGCCCTCTCTCTCGACACGGTCACCTTCTTCAGAGGTGCCCCCGCTTTCTGCTGCGCCACCCACCGTCGTGTCGTGTCGGATCCTGGCGCACCTTCACGCCTGTGCCCACGGTGTGCAGCGGTCAGGGGGCCCGGTGAGCATAGTCCGTCGTTAACCACACACCCGTTGCGTGTGGCACTGGGCCCCCGAGTGGGCTCCTGCGCGCGCCGCGGCTCGCCAGGTGTTCATGCACCTGCCCGCCGCCGACTGCTGCCCGCTTGCCGCAGCAGTTATGGAGTAGCAGGATACGGGCTCAGAAAAATGGGGTAGCAGGGTCGGGATGTCTTCTGCCTTGCTGCTGTCTAGGATTGTTTAGGGGGCCACATGCGAACCCTACCCCTACCCCCCACGATTTTCTGAGGGAGGGTGGGGTTCACTTCGCTCGGGAGCGAAGTGAACCCCAGCCTCCCTCAGAAAATCGTGGGGGGTAGGGGTAGGGTTCGCATGTGGCCCCCTATGTTTGCTGCTCTCTACCGTTGTTTGCTGGCAAGAAGCAGAAGGGTAGAAGGGTCGAGATCAACGTCGGCCCTCGTCACGTGTTTTCCTGCATGGACTTCTGTATGTTACCGTGAAGTCTCGTACTCCCGAGTGCCGTCGCCATGTCCACATGTTTGTTCCCCCTTGCGCGACAGGGCACCGATCTTTGGCAGAGCCAGGACCGTCCGTGCCTGTCTGCTACCGCCGTTGCTATGTAGCGCTGACCACGGTATCACGCAACGATTTAGGTGCCGCGAGGACCGTGCAGTGTGCCTGACACTATAGTTGTGGTGGAGGAGTGGACAGTACGTTGGGGTGGGATCGGTGGGATCACTGTACTTGAACTGTGTTTGCTCCCGTGGTGCCCAAGCAGAGCCTGTGCCTAGCCGCATCTGTCGTCTGCCAGCTGCAGCACCACATTTTCGTGACAGCTCAAACGGCTCAACACGCTTGCAATCCAAATCATCCTCCTCCTCCTCCTCCTCCTCCTCCTCCTCCTCCCTCCTCCTCTCTCTCCTTCTCCTCCTCCTGCTCCTCCTCCTCCTCCTCCTGGTCGTCCTCCTCCTCCTCCTCCTCCTCCTCCTCCCTCTCTCTCTCTCGTTCTCTCGCGCTCTCGCTCGCTCGCTCTCTCTCTCCCTCTTTATCTCTCTCTCTCTCTATAGCTCTCTCTGTCTCTCTCTCTCTCTCTCTCCCTCTCTCTCTCTCTCTCTCTCTCTATTTGTCTCTCTCTCTCTCTCCCTCCCTCTGAGAAAGCAGATGGGCTGCAGCCTCCGGGGGCGGTTTCTGCGCAATGGACTGGGCCGCCTGGGGGGGAGAGGCGCGCTCATGCTTGCGACCAGCGCGCGACGCTCTGGAGGACACCAGGAAGCGGGAAGGGGAGCGACGAAGAGGAGCCACGGGAGGGAAGGGGGAGGGCGAGGATGCAGAAGCCAGGAGGGAAGATGGGAGGAGGAGGAGGAAGAGAAGGAGGAGAAGGAGGAGGAGGAAGAGGAGATGGTGGAGGAGGAGGAAGAGCAGGAGGAGCAGGAGGAAGACGAGGAGGAGGAGGGATGGGAGGGAGGGGGCGCCAGGGCGGCGAAGGCAGGGAGGGGGGGAGGGATGGACAGGGGTGGAGCGAAGGGAGAGAGAGAGAGAGAGAGAGCGACAGAGGACAGGAGAGGGCGCGTGTGCGTGCAAGAGAGAACGAGAGAGATAAACGAAAACACACACACACACACATACACACACGAAAACAAACAAATCAACAAACAAACAAACAAAAAAGGGAGAAAGCGAGAGAAAGAGAGAGAGAGAGAGAGGCAGACCATTATTGTACAGACACAACTCGCCTCACCAACCGTGCTGGCACCCATCACGCTCGTCGCAGCGCGGTCCTGCGAACGTGGCCAAAACTCCGGCCAGTTCGAGCCACGCCACGATTACGTTGCTGCTCAGTGTGGGCGCTGGCTGGAGCGAACAGATCCTGCCCACTCCAGACAGGCAGGCGCAAATAAGAGAAGCTGCCTGTGACAATTATTGCCCGTGCCCGAGCAAGCGGTCGAAACAAAGAAAGGCAGAGACAGAGACAGAGAAGAGAAAAATAATGGGAAGGAAGGAGACACACACCTACACAGGCATGCTTATCCACCACTAGCCCAGGGAGGGACCGGCGGGGACGTTTTGAAATAAGCAGAGGCACCATGAAATACGGGGAGGTATCATGGCCCCCGCCATAATATACAACCCCTCTAATGATCATCCCCCCTCTTTGCCGTCCCCGAGAGAGACTGGAGGGAAAAAATGAGGGCGCGAGGGAGACGACCATCAGCTTCTTGAAGCCCGTTCCGCTGAGCGCTGTGTAGAAGGACGCGAACGTGACCTGGAGGAGGATGCGGAAGACGACGACGACGACGACGACGACGACGACGACGACCACGACGACCACGATGAAGACGACCACGACGACAGTGACGCGGGGATCAGGCCGAAGTCAAAGCCAAAGATGGGGGGGCCGGGAACGGGGACAAACACGCGGACGGTGACGAAGACGAAGATGGGGGAACGGGAAGGGGAGGGGGAAGGAAAAGGGGGAGGGAGAAGGGGAACAGGGAGGGGAAGGGAAAAAGAAGAGAAGGAAGAGAGGGGGAGAGAATAAGAACTGCGGAACACAGACCGGAGAAAGGGAATCGGGAAACTGGGAAGGGGGAGCTGCCTCCCCCGTCCTCCTGCTCCTCTTGTTCCTGCATCCCGCGTCCTCACGCGCAACTCCTGCCTGTACCACCAGGCATGTCCTTAGGGCGGCCCGGCAGTTTGATCCGAGACTTCCTCACCGTCTGGGAACATTGAAGCTTGAACTTCCCGAAAGCTACGCGGAAGCAGCTTTCGCCTGGGCGCCGTGCGGTGCAATCTACGTACAGCAATCTATGTGTTGCAATTAATTTCTGTTCGCAGTGAGTTGTCCACTCCACTGCTCGCGCAAACATCCTACCCACCCACCCGCAACTTGGTTTGCAAAATTTCTTGAGACCGTGACGGTGGGTACCACATGGCACTTGGCAACAACAGCGACGCCGACGACGACAGCGACAATGAGGATGACGACACCGCCGACAACGACTACGACGACGCCGACGACGTCTCCAACGACTTCGACGACGCCGACGACGACGACGACGACGACGACACCGACGACGACGCCGACGACACCGACGCCGACGACGACGACGATGACAACGACGACGACGATGACGACGCCGACGACGACGATAACGACGACACCGGCGACGACGACGACGTCAACGACGCCGACGACGACGACGACGACGACGACGACGACGACGGCGACGACGACGACGCCGACGTCGACGACGACGAAGACGACAACGACGCCGACGCCGACGACGACGACGAAGACGACGACGACGTCGCCAACGAAGATAACGAGGAAGGAGGGGAGACGACGACGGCGACAACGACGACAACGACGAGGGAGGAGGGAGGACGGCGACGACGCGAACGACGAAGAAGGAGGAAGGACGGCGATGCCGACGACGGCAACGACGAGGGAGGAGGGAAGACGACGACGACGACAACGACGACGACGACGACGACGGCGACGAAATAGGAGGGACGACGACGGGACGCCGACGACGGACGACGAAGACGACGGGGGAGGAGGAAGGACGACCACGGCGACAACGACGACGGAAACGATCACGACGCCAAAGAGGACGACGACGACGAACACGAGGAAAGACAGAGGACGACGTAGGCGACGACGACGACGACGACGACGACAACGACGCGGGAGGAGGGAGGACGGCGACGACGACGACGACGATGCAAGAGCGCGCGCGCACGCTTTTGTTGAAAATCCATGTTGCGAAACCTTGGGTTATTGTAGGTTTTTTTGACACACGATTTTGAAATCCTTCCGAACCCGATGGGTTTTGAAGGTTTTCGGCATACGCGCGCGACGACGCGCGCGTCTGCACTTCGTCCCTTTTTTTCCAGAGGATTCTCGCGACGGCACACGCGCAAGGGCGTTCGACTGATTTCGACATGAGCGCGCGCGAAGCCCGTTTGGTAGCATTTTGTGAAAATCTTGGATAACCTAAGGTTTTCTTAAGATTTCGCAAGGGTTTCCGCGGAAGTTGTTTTAGCAACTCTGTGTTGCGAAACCCTCTGTTTTTGTATGTTTGTTTTCGAAACTCGATTGCGAAATCCTTCCCGCATCGAAGGTTTTTGAAGGATTTCGGCATGCGCGCGCGACGACGCGCGCGTGTGCACTTCGTTTCATTGTTTGCAAGGGATTCGTGAAAAAGTGCTAGGTTAGAACAAAAAATGTCACCGCATAGTGTGTTTCACCAGGGAACCTCAGGGGGGGAACCCGGCTTGGCTGGGATGGTACGTTTTTTATATTTAGGATGGACGAGTGTGAAAAAAATATGAAGTCATATTATCCCAGGGGGAGCCAATAAGTCCGGGGGGGAGGGGGTAGAATCGATGTGTCTTTTAGAAAGGAGAATATACGTGGTGCAATATATGCTCTGAGACAAACTAGCATACATATATATATATATATACATATATATATATATATATATATATATATATATTCGGCAAGGAATGATAGTCTCAAGATTACACACAAACGATAATGAATTCATGAATTCACGTGCGCACACGGCCAGTGACCTTACCACTAGCGGTGCGAGCGGGAGCCACAGCTAAATGATGGCTGTGCCCAGCTCGTTGCGCTGACCGCCGCAACTCCCGGCCATCCTCATCGAGCTTCGCAACCTCGGCGTCCGGGAGCCGAGGACAATGCGAAAGAATCCAATCGCGACACCTCGGGCGCCTCGAATCGGAGACATGAACGATCAGTCGCAATCGCCGGACAAACTCGGTTCCGCATGCGGGGAACTTTGATCCGGACTGGTAGCAACGAATCTGGAGGCGGGCTCCGCGCTTGGCTCGCTGATGGCTCTGCAAGCCGCGGGCGGTAATGAATGCAGCGCCACAGTGGCAAACATGGGACTCGCGTCCCGGGGTGGGATCTGGCGCCGCCCTGGCGTCGCAGACCGAATCGAAAAAAAAAAAAAAAAAAAAAAAAAAAAAAAAAAAAAAAAAAAAAAAAAAAAAAAAAAATGCGATCCACCAAAGCCACCCAGGAACTTTCGTCCGCCATGAGATGCGCCCAAGCCTTAGGATCCCCAGACCAAGCAGGGAAACCGTCCGGGAGGTGGGCCAAAAAAAAATCCGCATCCTTTTCTAAGGCTTGGATCCACCGCAGCGTTTGCCCTCGCGGTCTCGAGCGAAGCAGCGCGAGCAAGGCCGCGCCGCAGGCTTGGTGCGGCGCAGCCGGGCACAATACTTCAAACGAAGGCGGGCGACCAGACATTCAATGGCAGGTTGGTGCAATGCCTCGCGCACTTGACGGTCGGAGTGCTCAACGTGCTCAAAACGAGGTTCGTCAAATATCCGACGAAGCACAATCATGCATACTGTGTTCAACCGCTGCAAATGCCTAGCGGACGGAACTATGACACGCACGCCGAACAAGAGCTTCGACAAGAGCAGACACTGCATGAAGTACAATTTGCGCACAAGCGCTACATGCTGGGATCCAAACACTTTGCATGACAAGGGCGCGTACGCAGCAAGAGCTTTAGATGCCTTGGCATTTGCATCAGCCATGGTGCACGGTTGCAGAGAAGTGGCAGCGCCAAGATGCTTATAAGAACTCACAACGCGAATGCGCACATCCCTTCCCGGAACCTGCACACTCAACTGGCAACTCGCATCGCGACGAGCCTCTCGACAGGCAGCGGCCTTGGGGCCGCGATACTCCAAAAGGGCTTCAGTTTTCCCGGGGGAGGCGCTGAGCTGCAAATGCAAATTTTTGAAGGTAGAGAAAAGAACCTCAAGCAATATATCGATGCATTGATCGAGTTGCTGAGGAGCGGACGATACTATCGCAAGGGTTTCGTCATCGATGAAAGCCGCATCCAGCGCAGACTCCACATTCTCAACCCCGGGGGAGGGGGCCCAAAATGGGCCCGCGGGAGAGGGCAACCGAAGCGCAACCCCTTTCTCTCGGAGCTGCGCAGAGATGATGTCTAAAGCTATGCCGTAGACCCCGCTGAAAGTGAGCGCGCCTAGTTTGCACCCTCGTCGCCCTCCAGTGCGACTGGTGACACACGTGAGGAGATCAGACAGCGACCCAAGCACCTTCGTGCAGGGTTCGCATCATTCGGGCGACAGCTTCGTCAGTCCCCCATTGCTGTAGGAGGTGGCCGTGTCGAGACAAATACTGGAGCATCCAATCGGCAGCCGGCTCGGAAACTCCAAGGGAAAGAGGATGAGAGCGATGCTCGGACGTTGGCATCGAAACCCATCCATACATGAGTTGCCGCACGACTCTGTCAGGGCTTTTGCGAGGTCGACGTGCAACACAAAAACTGACAGCCTGGAAAAACTAACGCGCTCAATAATCGAATGCAACACGCGAGACGCCATATAGGTTCCGCAGCCCGGGATGGCACCACACTGTGAGGACGGCTAGTGCACGACGCAAGCTGGCGTCACAGCCTGCTGCAGCATTCCGGCGAGACCTTTACTCGCATGGTCCGCAAGAAGAATGTCACGATAGTCGTCTGTGTTAAGGGGGCCCCCCTTTCGCTTGAAAACTTCTTGGGGGCGCCCCCCCGCCACTGAGTCGCCCAGGCACCTGCGGCCTTCGCGCGCTCGTTGACGGAAGAACACTTGCAGGCCAAAGCCGAACCCCCTGCCTGGAGAAGTTCCGCAGGAATTCCATCATAGCCCACTCTTTTGTCGCGGCCGAGGGCCTGGCAAGCACAGCGAGCGGCCTCGGGGCCTACATCCAGAGAGGAGGAGGGGGGGGGAGGAGGGAGGGGAAGAGGTAGGCATGGGCTGGCGAAGAGAGGCCTGGCCCACAATCTCGCCACGAAAAACTTGCTGGACATGATCTTGCCACACATGCTTGACGTCTTCCGTATGGATGTGAGGACACCACGAGAATCGCGCAAGCACTGACTCGGGCGCGCGGCGCGCGCTCCCAAAGCTCGCAATACAGCGAAAGCCTGGCGAGCGTCGCGCGCCTCGACCGCGCGGGAGGCGCTCGCAGCAAGGAAATCGAGAAACGCGCGCAGCTCCTCATCCAAAATGGGGCGCGCGCATTTCTGCAAACGAAATACATGAGCTGCGATGCACGCCTCTTGGCGAAAGCCCCTCCGGACCTCAGCCCCCGGCCCAGAAGACGCACAGAACGCCCCCCGGAACCTGCGGCTGCAACACATCTCACGCCAAGAATGCAAAACGAAAGAAAGAAAACAGTGCTGCCTACGCTTTGCGACA